AGTGTACCTGGCGTATAAGACGACCCCCCACTTGGAGGCATATTTTTCAGGGCCAAAAAATCGTCTTATACGCCGGCAAATACGGTAAGTAAAAACTGTTACCTAATGAGTGTTATTTAAAAGCATCACACGGCACCAATTTTGTTTTCTCCTCCCAGATGGCAGACGATCAAGGCTGTGTTGAGAATCAGGGAGCTGGAGATGCAGCAAGCGAGGATGTAGTTGATGCTAAGCCAGACCGGTCCTCCTTTATCTCATTGCTCAGGTAAGTTTCCTTCCTGGCCGTGTTAATCAGGGTCCCTGGGCCACTTCACTCTGCCATGCTTCTGCCATCTCCACCCACCCATGGGGCGGGGGGCATACAGGGAAGGGGGTTTATACTGTGCACGGGAGGTTTGCACAGGATCCTACTGGCTTTGTGTGACAACACTAGGGTCCCCTGTGTGTTGCGTCCCGCACGATATGAGCAGTGGGAGAATGAGAGGCGGCGGCGAAGGGTTAAGAAATAAAAGAAACAGCGGCCAAGAGTTCAATGAGCGCGGGGCCAAGGGTCTCCAGCCTCGTGGACAAAGAGCCCCGAATCGGGCGACACACCGCTTTTATTTCTCCACCCACCCAGAAGTAGCATTGTTCTCTCCACAGTCTGTGAGTCTCATTCCTGAGAACTTGCTCAAATCAGATTACCCATGCCTGCAAGTTGCTATTACCTAGACTCCTCCGCCTGCGATGATAAGACAGATGCTCTGCCTTCACACACCCTATATACAAACAACCACAGGAAGATAAGATTATTATGCTGATTCCCAAGCAGGTTGAGGGAAGGAATGTAGCTACAGAGATAGAAAACCTCCAGTCACTTTGGGGGGGCAAATGAGGGCCCATGCCCACCTCCATCAGCCCCGAGATTTCTCCTAATGGCCTCCACCCGACCGTTCCTGGCTTAGGTTGTTTCTCCCATGAGGAATCTTACCCATCATTGACTAACTGGCCATCCTTTGGAGCCAAACAGAGAGACGCAAGGTGTATGAACAGCGTCCTCAAAAGGTTCAGTTTCGGGTTAAGCGCAGGGGGACAGACGGCTGCAAAGCTGCGTGGCAACACCTGTGTACACTCCTGTGTTTCTGGGGACACCCTAGGGGTTTGGGACAACCAAGCCACAGGGGTCTCCTGCTCAGCTGTGCACCTGAGTGAGGGTCTGTCCTCATCAGAGATGATTTGCAGCTTTCCTCCTTCGGAGCAGAGTCTGGGCTCACTCCTACCCTGTCCCTCAGAGGCCCTCCATTGAAGGGAGGTGTGTCTTCTCTACTGAGTCCCACTTTTTCCTTTCTTGAGCTCACTTTTAAAATTCTAAATTTTATATTTAGTAATAATCATCATCATTTCATTTATTAAACTCTTCTATGCCAGCTCAGTATTGCATGTAGTCCTCATAACCCCAGGAGATGGTTCTATTATTATCACCATTTAATTGGTAGAGAAACTGAGATGCTAAGAGGTTTAATAGCTTGCCTTCTTTCTTATGACAGTTAATAAATGGTGGCGCTGAGATTAGAGCCCAGATGGTACCAGCTCCACTCACTTAACGTCTCTGCTATGCTTTCCATGTAGAAGGAGGCTGCAGGGGTGTGGGGGAGCCCTGTACTTCCCCTTAACCTTGGTCATGGAGAGGCAGTGAGTGGGGCTTCCTGACAAGAGGCAGAAGTGATCTGTGCGTCAGAAACGTCAGACTTCCTGGTGTCTCCTAAACCAAGTCCCACCTGGGAGGGACAGCCAGAGGGGATTAAGCTTGAGGCTAGGGAGTGCTCCCAAGCAGTGCTCAGCGGGGGAAGGGGGAAGAGCGGGCTCCCTGCCACATCCTGGAGAGAACCTTGGGTCATATCTCCCAGACAAAACTCAGAAAAGTGGGAAGATCCCAGCATCCTGGACTCGAATTCCACTGGCATTGACTTAGGGACAAGAATACTCGGTGAAATGACCAGAAAATTCAGTTCCAACTCCTGAAAACTTTTCAAAGCCCTGAGGTCCGTTGGTTCAGGCTAAACCGCTTTGCACTGCAAGCGCTTTAGAGCAGTGGCCTTCAAAGGTTCCTGCTCACATACCCTCAAATAATGGAAAACTACACATCCCTTTGTACATTTTAAGATGACATATAAATTTCTTGTCAAAATAGTTAAAAGGATGTGATCATATGTTAGTTTTGCAACTTGTTGCGTATTTGGGTTAAGCAGGTTGCCTCTAAGTGAAAGAGAAACAGAAATCATATAATAATCATTTCGTAATTCTTAGTAAAGCCCTTTCAGGTACTTTCCAGAAATTAAGAAAATGAACAATGTAAATATTGACATATAACAGTCATTCCTTTATATGTATCCAATGGACTCTAAATCCATAGTAATTTTATAACTACCTTTATTCATTAAAAATGTACATCAACAAGCTCTCCTTTAATAACTAGAATTTTTATGTGTTTTTTCTCCCCCTGAACTTTTTTTAAATTCTATTTCCTACCACAACATTTTGTTCTGAGGTATCGATTTAGTTGATTGAAGCCTTTTATTGATCACCTCGTCATATACCTCTGTGACATATGTATGTTTGCATATGTACATATGCATAAATTTTAAGAAATTTTTCCAGGTATCATGAGTATTAATAGCAATTTTTTTCTTCACTAAGTCACTATTAATTTCTCCTAGATTAAGTTACTGTTTCAGCTATTAATTCACAGTTGATCTAAACAAATAAGTGTTGATAAATCAGTAGTAGTATTGTCAACCTAAGAAATGTCCAAACCTGTAGAGAATTGTTATAAGAGTTTATTTGAGCCAAACTGAAGACATATGCTGGGGAGCCAGATCTCAAAAGCCCCAGAGAATAACAGTTTTGCAGATTCTATAAGCATTTCAAGTTGAGGGAATGTACATGGAGGAGGGAGAAAGCAAGGTGGGGATTGGATTACAGGCTAGTTAAAAAGATTATGGGCTCTCTTGAGGGTTGATAATGCCTTTGAGGGGTAAAACTTCTGGCATTTCGAAGGCATGTTAACCTAGGTTCACAAGAACAATGGACAGGTCTGGCTTAAAACCTTTCACTAAAGAAGTTATCAGCCAGGAAACGTCCGGTCAAGGTCGTGGAGGAGGTAAACGCTGTGCTCGCCGCCTCCCACAACCACATCAGAATTACAACTAAACTGCAGAACGGCCATCATTGAGAATTTCCTGAAGTCCAGCTGAACAGAAAGCCTGTAATGAAGGACATACAGAAGAAGCCATATCAAGACTGGTAGGAGGGGTGGAGATGTGGACAGGCTGGTCCCACCCCCACATGTGGTGATTAAGAACCAGGAGGGATATCTCAGCTGTGAAGGTCCCCGCTGAGGAGTGAGGGGTCCCAGCCCCACACTGGGCATCACAGCCAAGAACACCAGTGCCAGGAAGAGAAATCCCCACAAATCAGTGGGAACTCTGGGTGCAACAGAGGGCGGCTAGAGTCCCAGGCATTCCTCTTAAAGGACCCACACATGGACTTACTCGCTCACACTTGACCTAAGCTCAGCGAAGGGACAGTAGCTCGAAGAACACCAGGGACATACAGAAAGGAACTGAATCGTCTGGCTTTAGAGTGAGGGCTTGAGGGGCAGGCCTCTTGGGGACCGGCAGGCCCCACTGTCCTTTTGTTGAGCCATCCTCCCACCCAGCCTGCATGTGCAGGCAGCTGCCAAGTCTGAGTCCCCATCAACCTAGCAAACCCCGCTCTCGCCTCACCCTGATGATTCCCTGAGACCCCACTGCACCCAGTTCACTCCCCAGCCTGAACCTCTTTCAATGGCTTTTCTACACAAGCTGCTGGTCTGAGCCCATGCTGAGGACTTGCCTAAAAATTTCTTGAAAAGTCCACAAACCCCAAACAAGCAGCAGCTGGCCTCATCCTGTGCTGTACTTCTTGCCAATTGATCCCAAACGCACCACCAATGACAGCCAGCCTCGATTGGCAGCATAGTCCCTCTCAGGTGCCTCTGAACCCTGCACAGGCAGCTGCCAACCACAGATAATTTTGTAGCTCCTACCAAGTGGCCCTCGGCTTGGCACAGGCAGCTGCTGACCTTGGCCTGCACCAGGGCCCCTCCGAAGAGGCCCCAGAATGAACACACCCAAGTGGCCAGCTTCAGACCACAGCAGAGCACCACCTAGTTAGCCTCACAAACAACACACCCAAAGGGTGCACTCAGAAGGCACCAGAGCCACACTAAAGTGAACCCTACTCCATGGGGTCAGCCCCTGCATGACAGTTCATCTACTGTAATGGCCAGTCCTCACAGTCAGGCCAGGCCTGAGAGTCAGTCCTACCCATTGACGTGCCAAAAGCAATCAAGGCTCAACTACAGCAAGAGGGCACACACAACCCACACGGGACACCATTGGAGCACCTGGCTTAGGTGACCAGGGAGACTGCACCACTGTGCCTGATAAGACATCTACATAAGGCCACTCGATGAAGACCAGGAGATGTAGCAGGTCTAGCTAATACATAGAAACAAACAAGGAAGCAGCCAAAATGAGGAAACAAACATGTCCCCAATGAAAAAACAGAACAAAATTCCAGAAAAAGAACTAAACAAAATGGAGACAAGTAATCTGCCAAACGTAGAGTTCAAAACACTGGTTCTAAGGATGCTTAATGAGTTTAGGGAAAGGCTAGATGATCTCAGTGATAACTTCAACAGAGAGATAGGAAACATAAAAATGGAGATAGAAAACATAAAAAAGAACCAGTCAGAAATGAAGACCACAATAACTAAAATGAATATATTAGAGGAAATCAGCAGATTAGATGATGCAGAGGATCGAATCAGCAATTTGGAAGACATTAGCAGAAAAAAAACAATCAGAACAATAAAAAAAGAAAAACCCCAAACAATGAGGATAGTTTAAGGGGCCTCTAGGACAACATCAAGTATAGGGTACCAGAAGGAGAAGAGAGAGAGCAAAGAGTTGAAAACCTATTTGAAAAAATAATGATGGAAAACTTCCCTAATCTGGCAAAGAAAATAGACATACAAGCCCAGGAAGTGCAGAGACTCCCAAACAAGATGAACCCAAAGAAGCCCACACTAAGACACATCATACTTAAAATGCTGAAGGTTAAAGACAAAGAGAATCTTAAAAATAGCCAGGGAAAAGCAGTCAGTTACCTGCAAGAGAACTCCCATAAGACAATCAGCCGGTTTCTTAACAGAAACTTTATAGGCCAGAAAGGATTGGCAAA